AGCGCTGGCGTCTGGAGGTGCTGACCGTTATGATGTTCAGTGATGTGGAGACAGTGTCCTCTTAGCCAACCGCTAAAATGGAGGCGTACGCAGCTGAATAGCCCTTTGGAGTGTTACGGCACTTCACGCGGAACACATGAATGACGGAGGGTGGTAAAAAAAGGCATACTTTTTTTTTTTCTTTTCCTCCCCCCAAGTCTAGCCGTAGAGATAAGAAAGAGAGAGTTAACGCGCTGCCTTCCTCCAGCTAGAAAGTGTTCCTCTCCTTCCCACTGCCGAGACTGCTCCAACTGAGAAAGGCCCGAAATCCTTGCCTAACAGGCCAAAGAAAGTATAGCTTACTGCGTTTGTCTTAACCTGCGCACGTGGGGAGGCATTTCGGCTGTCTGTCTGGGAGCCGGCTGGCGCCTCTGAACAAGGCGCTGCATTTCAGAGCCTGATTTTTACCACGTCCGCGTCCGAGTGCCGGGATGCCTCACTTTCAGCTACCTTTCCTCTCGCTCCTTCCTTTTTTTTTTTTTTTTCCATTCGAGATTTAATGCCTCCTTAGAAAAGATAAGTTCATTTTTGCACACCTTGGGGTGGTGTGTTCATTTTCTGCCCAAGAAATGGATCTTCTTTCGGATTTTGTACATCTTGATTTATTCTTGGCTTATAGTTTGAAGTGCCTGCTCTTCTAAAAGGATTTATGCATAGGTTCACTATTTTTGTAGTTATGGTTTATATGATAAGCTTTTTATATTTAAAATCAATATGTAATCCTGTGGAGGAGCTTATCCTCTAAAACCCCATTTGTAAATCTATTTTAGCTTTGTTACACCGCGCAGCCACAGTATTCCATAGATTGATTAGGTTCAGCATCAGAATCCTATCAAATGGCCTGCTCTGATGATGATGCAAACTCTTTCAGGATTGCTAGTTGACTGGAACTAAAGATAAGACCTGACTGCAATCCCCCAATGTGCTCTTTACAAAACTAGTGTTAATTTTCATCAAAGTGCCGGGCTTATTTATTATAGTGGCGAGGTTGAAGGTTTTACTACGAGAACTTTCGACCATTTCTATTAAAGCTTTTCTATGGGAACCGGCCGCCTGTTTGCTCAAAGTAATTATCAGTTTAAGCAGTGGGGGGAAAAAAAAAAAGACAATATGAAGTCAATGAAGATGAATAATTGAAAACATTTCTACTTTAACGTGAATTTAGCAAACTCTGTCATTTTAAACTGCCCGTCGTGAGCAGTGGCACGGGGGCTTTAGCTTTCAACACTTTTAGCTCATATACAGCCTCAGAGCTTAATCCTATTTTTGTCCGGAGTGTAGCTTTTATAACAGTATTATTCTGAAATCTTCAAATTAATCGCAGCCCATATTGTAGCTTCCCAGAGCTGCAGTCAGCCTGGGTAACTATATGTGACAGGTGTTATAGGTAATCCTGGCTTAAAAGGCACAACAGGTAGGAATCAAACTTGAACATAGTTGCTTTTTTAAACATAGGGATGCTTCCCGAAACTGCTACCCGGCAGTATTTTGTTGGATAAAAGAAAATTGCAATGTAATTGCATATGAAATGTTACTTAAATGCTTTGTGCCGGTTCCTCTTTTAACCAATTGCTACTTGACTGTATTTATTTCGGGGGTGGGGGGAGTGTGGTGTGAGGGGAGATGGCAGAAATTCAGGCTCCTTTTCTAGGAAACAAAATAAAAATGCAAGGGAATATTTCTGTCAGCAAGTTTTCACATGGCGTATTTCAAACACTAACTAAAAGCAGAAACAAACAAAAAAAACCCACCCAAAACCAGTTTTGTTCCATTAGGTCCTAATATGACGTTATTTATGCCACAGGGATACGAGATGGGGCAACAAAAACCGTAGCTCTTAGAAAGGGACTTAACGGAGGAAAAATAGCAGTGAAGGAGTCAGTGTAACCTGTACTGAAATATTTTGACTGGTTTGCTCTTTCGAAAGCTGAAATTGCTGCTGAAACTGGAGAACTAGGAGGTGAAGGGAAAAACAAAAAAAAGAAGCTTTACAAATAAAAGATTTTCAACTAAGTGAAAACCGTCAAAATTGCAAAATAATTAAATCGAGTCCGGGTAGAGATGGGGTTTTTTTGGGGTCCCTTTTCAGCTGGAGCTTCATGTGCCCACATGTGGCTGGAGCCCGCGTCACGGCACGGTTATCAGCCAGAAAGTTAGCCTGAAAGTTGGGGACCACGTCTGGGGGGAGCAAACAGCCGTGAAGTTCTCTGCTGTGTCTCTCTCCTCCTTTTCTGCCCGGCTCCCTGTGGTTGCCCTTCATAAGACGGGTTTGTCACACCGAGGTTGCATTGCACACACAGGGGCTTTATTTGCGTGGGTAAAACCTTCAGGTTTTGGGCGGCTCAGGGTTGCAGAGGTGCGGTGGGGTGTGTTTTTTAAACGGGTGGAACTGAAGGAGCCTTCCCCAAAAGGAGCAAAAGGGCAAGCAGCGGTGGAAATTGAGAGACCGCCTTAAAAATTAGCACCTAAAAAGGCTGCTCCCCAAATTAAAGCAGCTTTGTCGCAGGAGAAATGGCTTGGATTACCGATGATTTTAGCTGGTAGCTTCAGTTCCACGTCCACCTGGAAAATTATTTCCTTAACAGCAGTGGAGGGGAAGCAGCACACTTCAAAAAAGAGAAAGCAGGAGAAAGAGAGAAAGGAGAAGAAGGAGAAAAAGAAAAGCTCCTGGGACATTTGGGCAGTGCCCTGCCAGGCCGGTGCTCCGGGAAGGGCTCAGGTGCCGCCACGCCGAATCCCTCCCCGCTCGTGAGACGCCGCCGTGCGTGTT